TTTTGTAGGGACAGGGTCTTGCTATGTTGCTCAGGCTGGTCTCAAACTCTTAGCCTCAAACAATACTCCCACTGTGGCCTCCCAAAGTGCTGTGATTACAGGCATGAGCTACTGTGCCTGGCCTTATGTCTTACTAATAGTGCTTTACCTATGTTGTCTCCTTTGCCTACAATGTCTTTCCTTCTCCTCTCGCCAGACCTGATTCACTTTTACTCATTCCTAGGGTTTACCTTAGGTATCACATGTGCTAGCTTAGGTGTCTGTCCCCTTTGTTCCCATAACTCCTGATTGATCCTTCTATGTCACAATACATTAAAGGGTTGGTCTTCTCTGTTTCTACATCTTTAGACTGAACTACTTGAGGAGAAGGATGGTTTCTTACTTAGTTTATGTTCCTCGTGCTTAGTACAATGCTAGTATATGAAAAGTGATCAATGAATATTGACAAAGGATTGAATGAAAGAGTGCATGAATGAAATCAAGGAAAGCAGTCCTAGTATGTCTGTAACGGCCCACATGATGAGAATGAGTTAGATGCAGAATATATCCATGGAAGCAATATAAAAATATAAGTAACCCATCTCACACTTGGCCAAAAGCTTCCTTATGAGCATGGATTAGTTGAACCCATGGCACATCCTAATCAATTTCATTTAATTTTGAATACTGACAGTGTGCTAGAAGTTGACTCCTAGAAAATGTTACTTTCAACCCCGTAGCATCTTACGCACTATGCAATTTAGTTCTGATACTTGGGATTGCACCTCTGGTCAAACCACTCCAGCTCTATGCCATGGATGGTCTGCCTCTCACATTCATCCAGGGGCAGTTTGCCTCCCACAGGCTGTCCTCTTAGGCAGAATAGGAAAGGACAGCAAGCATGTCTCCAACTTCTACCTCGTGAGTTGGACACTTTCCAATTGCTAGTGGAGGGAGACAATTCTAGATGGTTCTTCCAAGCATGAGGTCCAGTTGTCTTATTTAATATACTTACTACACTAACAGCTCTGGCCCAAACCACCTCTATCCTACTTGGGGACTGTGCATTGTTCTCTAGTGTATGATTAGCAGATTAGCTATCATGTCAGAAGCCAGGAAAATGAACTCCCAGTAAGCCCTTCCAAAGCAAGAGTAATTCATTATCCAGTCTGATTTCCACTTAAAATGTACTTTAAGCACACTTCCAACTACAAACCCTAAATCACCCTGTGTTCACAAAGTCCATCATTTTTTATTTTATTGCATGGCGTTGGCGTGACATAATCCCTTGCAGAGCATCTCAGAGTGCTTTACAGATCAATAAATTACTTACCTGCACAGCTGAAGCAGTGTCTGCAAGGCCAGCACGACATTCTGCAGGCAGCTTGTCCTCCAGGAAGCAAGCAAGGCTGTGCAGGTGCCAGGAATGGGCAGGAGCAGGGACCAGGCAGATGTATGGGTTGGGGGAGTGGTGCATGAGAAGGGAATGTTTCAGTTAATACTCTGGGAATAAGATACATCAAAGTGTTTATTTCTGCAACGATCAGTTTAAATGATTCTAGAACTAAGAAAATTCAGAAGTTTGTACCCTTCAGGCAGTCAGCAAATCAAATTCTCAGTCATTAACTCATCAATTACCTTTCTGTCCTGGAAGGCTCAATCTAGCTTTTAAAACGATACAACCGTAAATTGCAATGTTATATCCTAAAAGTCCCAGATGGTAGAGCCAATGGTCTCTCTCCAACCCTCACCACATCCACTCTCCATTATTTCTGTCCCACCAGATACCTCTGAGAGTGCAGATATGTGTGCATGTGTGCACACTCACACACACACACGCACACACACTGCCTCTCTATCTGAAGCTCAATGTGGATTGAAATCTTAAAATGATTAATTCATGCTTGCTCTATGAAAGGCACCCTATTTAGGACGGCAAAACATATTAATCAAAAGATGAATAAGGCTTTTGTTCAATACCTTATCTTCAGGCAACGTATAGCATAGAAGGGAAGGTGGGACACATGTACCATAAGGGAGTTTACTTTAAATGCCATAAAGGAGGTACCACAATGCTGTGGGAGCCCCAGGAAGGAGAGGTAACATCCTCTTGGAGATCACCTGGAAGGCCTTATGGAAGGGGTGGCAGTTCACCCAGGCCTGGCACAATTTTAATGGGTGTATATAGTCAGAGAAAAGGATCTGAGCACTGAAGTCAGTAGCAAGGGTCCGGCTATAAAGACACAAAAGGGCAGCACGTGCTTATTAACAATGAGTGCTCCAGCTGGACAGATGCAGGACGTGAGCGGAAGAGAATAGTGGAGAAGGAGGGAAAGAGAAGGCAGCTAAATAGCTCCAAAATGCCCCCGTTTCATGGAGGACAAGACCCAGCAGAACTAGGAATGAGTGAGTAATGGTTCAGGTAGAAGAAAGGCCAATATCGAAATTTCCAAACCCATCTGATTTTAGTGTGAGTGTCCCATTCTGGCCTTGGAACGAGGAATAACGTCATTGTGCAGCTTCCCTGGGTTCTTCCGCAGGCCTGATCACACTGTCTTCTGGGTGGGTGATATGCCCTGGAATTGCACAGTGTGGTTCTGAGGAATATGTATTCAAGGAAAGAACATAATTTGGAGCAACAGAAGAGTGCTGCATGGAGGGGCCCCTTTCTTTGCCATGAACTAATGTGTCAAAACCGGTGTTGGTAGGACTGAAATAATAGGAGCTAATGACCCAACTCTGAGGTGGTTATAAACATGTCACAGGTTTGGAAGGTGGTTCCCTTCAATAACCATTATAACTCAATCCTATAAGTATTTGTTGAGCTCTTACTGTGGATACAAGTATGAGTAAAGACATGGTTCCGACCGTAAGAAAGCTCATGGTCTGGTGGGTGAATGCACTGAGCAAATAACCGTAACATGGTGGGATAGGTTTTAGAATTGGAGTTTGGGGGCCGAATAAATGACACCCTTACTTTATCCATTTGAATTATAAACTATTTGACAAATGAGACAAATGAGTAGCCACATAGAGACCCAAACATCACATTTACTGGTGGTAAAGCTGAGACGGGAGACTCAGGCTCGAGTGTGCAGCAGCAGTGAGGTCCTACTACCAGACCCTAGAATGAAACAGGTGTACGCGCGCTGGCTGTAATGCAGGAGGTGGCCGTTCCTGTGGGGTACCGCTCCTGTGGAGCAAGCACAAGGAGGAGCAGAACAGAATGGAAGCTTCCAAAGGGAAGCCTGGCTCAAAACAAAAGATGGAAAGAAGTGAAGGTTCTTCCGTTAACTTTACCCATTAGGATGAATCCTTCCCTCCTTGGGGGGAATAATTTAGGGAACAGAGAGAGAGAGAAAGAGGGACAGGCCAAGGAGAAACCAAGTGTGTTTATGGCTGGTGTTGTTTTGAGTCTCCATCAGGTATATATAATGTGCTCTGGCCACCCAGATGGAGAAGAGGCAATAAGTTTGTCTTGTCAAGGATGGTAGAGTAGTGTAATGTTGGGAAGATTGCAACAAAGAAACTGGCATTTCAGAACTTAAAGGATGTCTGGGAGTGTCCAGGAAGGATATAAGGAACCATATAGACCCAAATGCATGATGACCAGACAGGGCATAATGCACTGGGGACACCAGGGGGTCAGCAGAGGTGGAGTCGCTGGGGAGGGCTGTGGAAACGTGGGTTGGCTCCTGATTCTGAACAGCCCCTACCCAGGGGAAGGAGCCTGGGTGTGATCAGTGTGGCAGTGGGAGCCATGGGGGCTGTTCGGGCGGCGATGTGACAGGATCAGAATTGCATCATCTGAAGATGCCTCTGGATGCGGGGCGAAGGACTCGCGGGGCTGTGTCGGAGTGGGTGGGTGAGAGTGGAGGTGGGAAGAGGGTGGAGGTAGGAGGTAGGAGACAGTTATGGCAGTATTGCAGTGGAATTTATTTCCATTCAGACTCCCTGACTTTGTGTTTAAATAGGAGCAAGTGGAAGCTAGATTCAAGGTAAGATATTTTTCATGTTTAAGGTAATTCCTCTAATTCCTCATCATTAACTTACTGCAGTTCATATATTTGAGTCTCTAGTCTCTTCTACCGACTGCCATTATAAGACAACAAAGAAATCTTTCAGCAGGATCTTCATTTCCCTCCTGTCTGTTTTGTCTCCACAGTCTCTCCCAAAATTGTAGAGATTTCTTCAGATATCTCCATTAATGAAGGGAACAATATCAGCCTCACCTGCATAGCAACAGGTAGACCAGAGCCTACGGTTACCTGGAGACACATCTCCCCCAAAGGTAAGAGCAGCAGTTTGGTATATTGTGTCATCAGAGGAAATGGGAGAATTGGTGGCCATGGGTGGGGGTTATGGTACCGGTTACCTGGTCCAAGGGATTCTACGTTTTTTGTAACCTGATCATATGCTAATGGCTCTGCAGAGAATTTTGGTGTTCTCTTCAAGACAGGCATATCCTCTAAGATTCTGGAAATCATTCCTGAGTATCTCTTCAATCCCTTGGAAATTAATCCCAGTCGTCTCTAGGTGCAATGGTGGTAAGATACTCTGGGTGAACTTTATACGTCAGGTTCGACGGTGGAAGGATCTGTGCGGGTGGCATTGCTCAGCTGGTTGTTTTAAAAGAGAGAAAACACAAACACATAATGATGAGCGAGAGCTTTAAATGGCCATATTCCTAAAAGGAACATCTCCAAGTCTGTGCCTCTTCAGCGTTGCCAAAAATCTGGTCATTAGCTGGTTTTGTGGTTTTGTTGTTTTACTCTGATTGATCCTACATTACAAATACAACTTAATGTGTGACTAAATTGCAAAATTTTACTTTATCTAAATGTTCAAATTTTATGTAGACCAGACTAAGTGTTGTTTTGTGCTTTCATGGATGGGGCATTAAAACCTTTAGAATTTAAGACCAGATGCTATTTATGATTAGGTTAGCTTTCATTTGGGAACAAGGAACATAAAATTATTTTATTCATTCTTAAATGTTTATTGGGTGCTTGCAGACTCCAGGCTCTCTTCTAGGCACTGGGGAACATAGCCATAAACCTAAAAGAAGTTTCTGCTCTCTTGAGTTCATATCCTCATGAGGCAGATGAACAAAAAAAAAGTGCACAATACAATTGATAAGGGTGAGAAAAAGGAGCAGCATACCTTGACAGAATGACAAAGGGTTTGGTCAGAGCAGACCTCTGAAAAGGGGACATTCGAGCAGAGACATGGATAGCAGTCCTTAATTCCATTGCGTCTGGCTGGGTGACATGAAATGTATGTGTGTAATTGTGTATGTATACGTGTGTATGCGTGGATGGGTGGATGAAGGTATGTATATTGCTGAGTAGTGCAGGTTTAAGGATTCTAGAGGAACCTTAGTGGTGATGGTTGCTTGTGGCAGGTTGGGTGCCCCAAAAGCAGACTCCGAGAAGGTGACTGGTGTGAAAGAAGCTTAGTAGGGAATGCTATTGGGATCATCTCCTGCAGAAGGGAGGGGAGAGAAGCAGGGTTGGGCGGAGGTAGGAGCGAACTTGTGATGCAGTTCAGTGGAACATCTCAGCTGACCCCATGGGGAGCTCTGAAGCTAGGAGGACCCTTGCAAAGTGTCCTTTATTGAGGCAGTAGGGCTTGTTCTCTATGTCAGCACAGCAGTCTGAATTTAGGCTGTCCCAGCAAGGTCCAATGTGACCTTGGAGCAGGCAACTCTCTTCACATGAGAAAATCCACACAAGGGGCCAATAGCTGAGGGCTGTCGACCAGCAGCACGTCTGTCCACTGGGACATACATCCTCTGTTCCTGAAGGTGGCCTTGTACTGCAGTAGCCACTACATTTGCACATTTAAAAAAATCAGGGTAGGACTACAAATGGACCCCGAATACTGAATTTCCTCTCTCAAACAGAGACAGTTTGCCCTGATCAATGGTCTTAGAGAAGGCATGAAATCTTCAGTTGTGTGTAGTGTGAATTCCTGGGATCTGTCCTGTGCTGCCATTGTTGACGCTCTCACTGTGAACAAAGGGATCAGGGAGAGCTACTGACGTCTCTCCCGATCTCTCCATTTGAAATGACCTTCCAAGTAGACTGGCCCGAAGTCTGGGAGGAGTCTTCAGCTGCGCATCAGCTCATTAGCGAGGGAGAATGGCCCCAGGGCACTTTTGCAGGAGGGGCCACCCAGATGGACAGACTTTCCGAGTCCGAGGCACACGCCATTCATCACCGCTGAATGTGGAGTCCCTAGTGCTCTCGATGCCAGGGCAGTCTGTGCCTTTAAAATCTGCAGAACATTTATCATCAGGGTGTATACTTCCTTTGTCTCATGTCAACAGGCCGTCTCCTGTTTGATGTCTTTTCTCATTCCCTCTACTGGCCACTCAGCAATCTGTCCTTTTCTGGGTGTTTCTTTGCCCCACTTCTCCTCTGCTCATCTTCTTTTGTCCTGCCCTGTTGTGCCTCTTCTGTCCCCATTTTTGTTCTGTGCTTTCCCTTTCTCTCACAGCCTCCTCAATTCTCCTGCTTTAATTTTATTCCTTTCCACATTCTCCCTCTCTCCTGCTCGCAGTTACTTGTTGTCCCCCTCTGATGTCTGAGCCTCCCTGGTTCATCTTGCTGCTGTTCATGCTACCGTGTCTCAGAGTCCTTTGTTTCCCTTTTTGTGGCCATAGAGCAGCTGCATTTCCCCAGGGGACCTTTACCTGAGCATGGGCCAGATGCTCCCATTTTACTGAGGTTTTAGCTGCTATGGAAACAGAAGATGGATCAAGGCAAAAAGAACAGGATAATCAGAATCTACCTGCAGATTAGAGTCATTTAGATGAACGGCGTTTTCCAGATCGTGGGTCCAGATTAGCTATCCCGGATTCAAACTGATGAGACAAGCCAAGCAGTAACTAATCACCTCAGAACTCACCAGGGCGTTGTTTTCCCGGTGACTGATTATGTGGAGATCGGAGATGTCACTGGGCCGCTGCCAAATCTGAACTGAAGCTGGAGACCCTTAGCAGTCACGCCTTCATCTTTCCCCACGACATATTTCCAAAAGGGTGCTTATTTTAAATAGGCTAGGACAGGCTTGGAGCTCCTTGGAGAAAAAGATGTGCACCTTAGCGGAAGCTCCAAAGGCAGAGAACTATTGTCATCTTTTGTTTCGCTCTGTGAGGGTAGATCATGTTTCCGTCAAGATCATTCTTACACGCATACCCATTAAACCCCTGAATGAACAGTTGATTGGGCTAAGCTCTTTTGGCAACCCTGCTGACTTCGTTGCATTTTCTCTCCCTAGATGGATCTATTTGTTCCGTAGATCCTCATTCATACGGTGCTGCTTGCAATAAACTTATATAAATTGTATTTCTAGTCTTGACCACCTTCTGTATGGAAAAGGAGTGCAGAATTGTTAACTATTTTAGTAATGGTTCATGTATTTTGATATGGGGAAGCCTAGGAGTGACCGTTCGAGAGAAAGAAGGGTGAGTGTCCTTGCGTAGCACTTTACATCAAATGGAGAAAATGTCACTTGTCAGTATCCAAGACAGAGAGGGAGGTAGGGCTCCCAAGCTACCTCTTGACACTGCCATTGATCATATGAAATAATTTTCCTTATATGATAATTGGCATCATGCTTTCTTTAGTTCCCCTTATGAACTTATCACTCGTAGAGTTCAAGGAGGAAGCGCACTAGCTTCTTAAAGACACCTGTCCTGCTGCTCTGCACACCTGTTTTGAGGTGTGCAGGTGTTGTTTGCACGTGTGTGGGCTTTGTACTTTTCAAGAGGAAGAGGCCCCATCTCATTGTCTCACAGGAAGAGCCATCTGTATCTGCATGAAGGTTTGTCGACCCTCAGCCAGAGTCCCTGTGGTGTCAGTGTTCTACTCCAGCTGCGCCGTCCGTGGGGCCACAGTCTCCTGTAGACACATCCCCCACTCCGTGCCTCGCCTTTCGTCTGCATCTAGGCATGCAAGGTTGCGTTTCAGCACAGCCCTTAAACTCTCGGCATTCTGTCTCCAGCAGAATACCTTTAATGCCATCCTGTTCCTCTGCATCTTCCCTAAGTAAACAGAAATATGATCTTTCAGTGTCTCCTCAATAAGAGTGTGTAGGACCTCATTCTTCATACATGAGTATTTTCAAGGCCCTATTTTGATGTCACCAATTTCTGTTGGATTGTAAATGCTTTAGAGAAAAGGCTGGGTTTCCTATATTGCCACATTCCTGGGGTCCCAAAATGAAACTCAGGTGAAGGAGTGAGTCCAGTCACTAATCTGTGGGTCTCACTATACATTCGGAATTGGGGATCACTGAGTGCCCTAATAGACATCTCTTGGGTACACCTCCCTCACCTTTCTCTCATCAAATGAAACATTGACAACGAAAACCTCATCTAGGCTACATAAAGGACACTTCCTACCAAGATACTGGTGATGGAATTCGGTAAAGCCTGTGCCCTGTCCACAGAGATATCCTGGTTTCTGACTTATTTATTTATTGCCCTGTGATTTGATAGGGCCTGCATCACATTTCTCTTTGGTTCCTCACTTTCTTTCGCCATGCCTAGCACCTGGGGAGCTTTCAGGAAATATTTGTGGATTCAGCGAACAAGCACTGACATTTGCCAGTGCCCCAGAGGGGCTGCCTGTTCTCCTGGTTCAAAGACTTTATCCCAATCCTTGAGGAAGTCTCCTGCGCTTTGATGTTCCCAGTGGAGACCTGGCATGTTTCCTGCTGCAACTCCCTGCTGGCAAATCACCAGGACGTTTTCTCTGGCCTTCACAGGACTCCCAGGACCTTTCTGATGTCCCCTAGAGGGGACCCTGGTGTGGCAGGGCTTGGCTTCTCCTTGAAGGGGAGTCCTTTTCAAGTTCTCTTTGCAAGAGTAGAGAAGGCTCACAGGTGGCTTCGGTGGTGGGTCTCCTGCAAGCTCCTTTCTGCTGTCATTGCCACTTCGTTGTGATCACTCTTCTGACATGTGTGTCCGTCTGACGGGCTCTTCATCTGGCCCTTCTGGAGGACACCTGATCCTTGTGGCGCCTCACTGTTCCCAACACTCCTGTGCCTAAACTCCCAATGGCTCCCAACCATGGTTTCCTAAAGCAATCCTGGATATTGCAAGGGAAGGGTGACTCAACCGTATGTAAAGGTTTGCAACTCCTTGTGGGTTAATGAAATAAAAAGAAAGATAAAGAAATCAGTAGGAAAAAAAAAGAAAAATGTTATATAAAGCTCATCTCCCCTCCTGCCTACCTGTCTCTCTTACTCTCACTGTCTCTCCTGGCGTGTGATCCGAGGTGA